ACTGCAAAGGACTGTTTGGCAATTTCACTGGAGAAAAAGTGAAAAATTGCAATTTTATGCTGAAGCAGAGTTCATCTAACAAAAATATTTAGTCTTGTAGGATTAGTGTTGCTTCCAGTGTAACTGAGCCTGGCTCTAACCAGCATGTGTAATGCTAATGAACCTCTCAGTTGATCCTGCTGTCTCTCCATCCCCTGATTAGTGAGCTTGCTATGCAGAGAACTGATCTGAGACGGGGAGAACTCACTCAAAAGGAACCAAAACCAATAAGAAAAGCAAATGAGGGGAGAAAGGAGAGTACAAATGTGTCTCCAGGATCCCAAGAGGAAACATTTATAAATAACATAAAAAGTGTTGTTGCCAAGATGGCAGCTAGTTAGGAGGAATAAAATGGGAGATGGATGTGCATGTGCTCAAGGTGATCAGAAATGAATAAAAGCAGACTGATGGCATCTTGTAGGGAGCAGCTCTGCCTGCATAAATCAACAATACAATCACAAGAATATCCCTGTGTGGCCCTGAGCTTGAGCATGAAAAGCAGAGGGAGGCAAACGACCTTCACAGGTTCCCACACAGCCCAGCAGGTGTTATAACAATGGGCTTCCAGCTTCCTGCCTCAGCAACAGGACACACTGGACAAGGGAGGTAGGATTTGTTAGAGACATGGCCCTCTCCTACCGTAGCTGCTGTGAGATGGAATGACCCTGGCTTATTGCAAAGTCTAAAGTAGAACAGGAACAAATGTTTTCCCACTGTATTGTGGTTCTTTTCTAGGCTATTTTTTTGTATTCCACCACCTCATTTAGGTTTTGAGGAGAGGCTGTAATTGAGCTGGGTGTTCTCTGTCCCTCAGCAGTTAGTGAGAAGTTAGAGCAGGGCCATGGGTACAAGCAGTTCAGGTTTTCCATTCCCTGTGCTCTCCCCTGCATTTGTCAATGTCTGAATTTCATCAACCATTATGCTGCCAATTTGTCTCGTTCTGTTCCCAGGAAGTTCATCACAGCCTCCTCTTAGGAAGAGTTACACTAAATAATTTTGTCATCTGTAAATCCTGCTGACCTCATTTTTCTGTTCTACCCCTCATTTCTGCCTTTCTGGATAATTAATGAGTGTATTAAGTACTAACTACAGCCCAGATCCTTGGGACATACTAATATTAACCTCCTACTGAATTGAAAACTGACAGACTAATGAATTAAATTCTGCATGAGAACAACAGCATTGAGAGTGAAAATCAGGATAAGTTGTGATTAAAACCAAACCCAAAATTCTGCAAGTACAAGCACCTGCAATTTCTACTGAATTTTATGGGTCTCATGAAAAAAAAAACAGGCTACTTGAAGAAAACCCCAAACCAATGAAAAAACAGAGGAAATATCACTTCTGTATACCTGTTTCCCTTGCCATTCACAGACTCACTGACTTATCAAACAGTACCCTTAAGCATTTTCCCCCTTACTAAATTACTTGGCTAGAAAATCCTTGGAACATCAAAGCTTGTTTAGGTATTTGATCCAGAGGGGACAAGCTATAGAATTTATAGCTAATCAAGCCTGAAGTAAAAGATGAGCAAAGTGAACCAAACTGATGACTACTACAGCTATAATCATGTTGGCAGGACATCCTGCCTTGTCAAAGTCACTTAGTTTTTTCTAGATATCAGAAATATCCTGACTTTTCTCTGACACTTTGGTATAGTATGTGTAATGGACATTTCTGTAAACAAAAAATATATTTGGAACATCATCAAGCCACATAAAAAAGGGCAGTTTCCTAGTGTTCTGTCACTGTTATAAAAACAATATATTAAAACTTAGATGTGTTATAAACATCAGCAGAAAGTCTAAAGTTACTCTTGGGACTATTATACTTCAGCATCTAAAAAAGTGTGTAATTTATATAGCAGTTTTAAAATACTCTAATTAGTGTCTCCCAAGTACAAATCCTGTAGTTTGAACTTTGTACCAGAGATAGAAGAGTACTAAAAATGCTAATGAATATTCACGTGCTCTTGAAATGAACTTCCTTCATTCCTGAACATTTTGAGAGATCAAGTTTTCTTAGCACAAATCTTCACAGAAGGTATACAGGTGTAATAATGTGTTTAATAACTTAATAAACTAAACCTGTATAACTGAGCTAATAGGCCTTTCCATGGGAAGCCATAAAGATCTTTGGGAAATGTGCCTTCTTTTACTACAGTTTTCCATAGGTTCTAGTCAAAGCAGATTTTGGTTCTGGGTTTGGTTCTGGTTACCACCTGCGCCTCTCTATCTGCAATGAATTTGTCTGTGACATTGTATCTAACATCTTTATTTGTTACAAATCTGCAGCTGCAAATTCCCATCAAAGACAACTTTTTTGCTTCATAAATGATATTATTTTTGAGTGCTGAATATTCCATTCCCATGGTAACTTGATTGGTAAGCGGCCTACCTGGAAAAGTGACTCCTGAAAGGAATTTAGGAGCCAAAACAGAAATCAGGTCATTTCAGTGCAATGTGCACAGGAACTGTTACAATTTGTGCTACATTGCAGCCCCTCCTGCTTTTCCACCAACATTCTACTGCAGGAAGTGATGCCTCTTTTGAAGGAGGACCCATCCTACGTGTAACGCAATTTATGTTACGTTTCTTCAAGGCTGGCAAGAGGGGTTGAACTCGTTGTACTTATGTCTATATTAGGAAAAAACCTGAATTTAGTTTGACTGAAAAAAAATGTAATTTTACCGTTGAAATGCACACTTTGTAGTGCCAGTATAGATGGAGAACCACAGAGCAAGTCTGAGAGCCTTACTGTGTAGGTACAGAACCCTCTGGATCACTGCTGGTGCTGAGGTAAGTGAGATCAGAAGACTTTTACATAAAGAGAATGGGAAAAGTAGAAGAGATGATGGGATTTTATGGGATTTTATTGTTCCATGCTGGTGTTTAAAGCATAAAAAATAGCGAACCCATTCAGAACAGTGTTAATGGTTAAAAAAGAGTCAGAATTATTGTACTTGACTGCCCACGTAAGATTTCTGAGCTCTACATACCATAATTTGCAACCAAGTAACCTTGAAATGACCAAATTCACTTTTGTTGGTACTATTAACTAAGTCATTAAACATATTCACATGCCTATTTATAAATTGTATTCATTATTTTCAAGATTTAAAACTACTGTGTTCTCCTAAATTACCCTGATGTATTTAAAGCAGAAACAAAGGTTGGAATTTTTTTTACTTGTCTGATCTTGTGAATTCTCCTCACTCCTGCATTCATTGAGTTGTTGGGTGAGTAGCTCATTAATGTGATTTCTATCTGTGTCTAAAGGCACAGGCAGCAGCACTGTTATGCAGGAGCTTGAAAAGACAGCTATAAATAACCTCCTTTAATAACCATAAATTTACATTAGAAAGGTAGATAAACTCTGAAGTGAGAAACGTTTATTTTTATCTGATGTTACTGTTTCATAATCTCAGTGTTATCAGACTCATCCTGAATAATTTAATGAGGTCTTGGCGTTTTATACCATCTGGGAAAGTCTTGCATATCGAACGGATTTATAGCAGAGGAACTGGGATTTAAAGAGCTACATCTCTCTTTGGGCCTCACTCTTACCTGGGACACATTCAAAAACTCCTAGAGACATCCCTGGCAGACTAGACTATATTTGGCCCTTATTTTACTCATTTTCTAAATGCAAATGCTCTTGTCTGAGTAATCTGAAGGAAATCAACCTCCATGGAATTTTAAAGTTTCCTTTCTTGATGCCATTAATTGGCTGTCTTAATTGTGGACATTTACTGAATTTATGCCCTCCTTTGGCCAAACACCTTGGAAGGAAAACACTGGCAAGCATAGTCAAAGTGGTCAGGTTTAGAGTTGCTGTCCATCCATCATCACCTCTGTAGGGAACAGCTGGAAGGCTGAGAGGATGTTGTCATAAAACCTTCAATAGGTGTATGAAGATACAGATAGTAGGGTAAACTGAATGTCATTACTAGAGGAGAAAGTGATAAAGACATAATTGAAGAAGGACTGCTGGCTTATGTACTCTGTAAGTTTATGATACCCGTTGTAAAGTAATGCAGGGTGATGCCTCCTCTTACAGTTCCAGGTCTGTGGGAGGCAGGAGCAGCTGAGCAGGGCAATGCAGAAGCAGGAACCAATCCTATATGCTGCGGGTGGCAGGATCAGTGCCAGGCTGGAGGGGGTTGGAGCAACCTGGTCTGGTGGAAGGTGTCCCTGCCCGAGGCAGGGGGTGGAACAAGATGAACTTTGAGGTCCCTTCCAGCCCAAACCATTCTGGGATTCCGTGAGCCTTTTGCTGGTACTAAGGGACACCAGTTGTAATGTTGTTCCTCTGTTGTTGTTTTTTAGGTACCACTTAACATATTGGACTACTTTAACTCCTTCTTTGCCTGAAGTTCCTTTGGTGGAGATACTTTGCAAGGCTCTGCAGACAGCAAACTGAGCAAAAGCTCAGCAATGAAGGCCATAGAGCCAGTCAGCCAGGACACACACGTAAAGCACCTACTCTGGAGTCAGTGGGGGGTAAGACAGACACAGGGGCAGCAGCAGCCTGACAAGGAGGAAGGAACCTGACCATCTTTCCCAGCGATTTTTGCAAGATACTGTTCTACTCTGCAGCTTAAACACAGACAGCATCAGACAAAAAGAGGTCCACCACTGTTCTTCTCTAAAGTTACTATTCCCACCTTCTTCCTCTGTGTCTATTAACCTGCCCCTTTCATCTCCTCCTAACCCTGGTGTAGGCAACTCCCCATCTCTTCCCAACCAGAGCTTCCTCCCTACAGGAACAGTCTTTTCATTAAATGTGTTATTGTTGCTTGTCAGTCACTCTTTAGCCTTTAAGTCAAATATTATTTTACTTGAGAAGTTCATGAGTGTGACAGTGGACAATACTTTTCATCTTTCTACTGCGTGAGCCGTCATTCCCCCAGTTTAATGAAACTGTTCTTACAATTAAATTGTACATAATGTGCTCAGATGTTGAAACTTCACAGAGCTGGCCCCAAACTGTTAATACACGAGTACAGAGATACCTACAAGGGCTGTGGTTGGAGCTGGTTTTAGTCAGGTTCACCCAGTACACTTTAAAATAACCTTCCACACCTCAGTGCCTTATTATATTGCTGAAGTGTCACCTTCTGAGTTGCAGTTACTCAGAGCTGGATTTTTGGAACAGGTGTGGTGGTGGGGTGTTGGGTGTGTTTTTTTCCTTTTTTATTGGGTTTTGTAGGTTTTTTTGTAGAGAAGTGTTTTAAAAGATTTGAGATTATTCAAACATTTAAAATGTGAAATGCCTGAAAATTAAATGTTTTCTTGGCCAGATGGTCCATCATCCCTGCACCACTCAAATACTTCCTTTTTTTTTGAACAAGGATTTAAAAAGATTTCACTGCCAAAAGATCACCTCATGACATATACTGATATAGGTTTTTTCTTGCTTTATAAAAAATATATTTCCCGCAGAAATTGATTAATTTTAAAGATTTCATCCAAGTATGTCTCTTTTCTTACTTGGCAGTTGTTTTTTAGATCTGCAGACCAAACAAGTGACCTTGTAAAATCTTTCAGTAATTTCCCCCCTTTTATTTTCATATTTCAGTAGAAACATTATCAGCACCTGGTGTTTTGTTACTTACTGCCTGTATTTTGATTGCCTCTTAAATCTCTTGAAATCCATCCACAAATGGCTCAGCTGCTTGGAGAATAACCATTTATTGTTTGTCTTTCTTCCTCTCACAATTAAGCAGCTCATTAAAGCACTCCCTCTATCGCTCTGTAATTGTATTCTTTGTGACCAAGAGATTTCCACTTGGGTTCTTTATCAGACTTACTTGGGTGTACACGTAAAAGTCTCATATTCCTAGTGTGTCTATCCCATTCCAATTCTCCACCACACCAGGCAACCACCTCACTGACTGGAGGTATTTGCACCATTCTGTAGCGTGAGGAATGATGTGTTGACTCCATATGGATCTCATCCCTGCATCATGGAAAGTAGAGCAGTGGAGCAAGGATGCCAAGTCAGCCCCTGATGTAACTCCAACCCTGGTGTTGGTACCTCCACTGACCACACAGCTGCACTATCTGCCTCCCAGCCTTCCCTCCTCTCATGCTAAGGCAGTGCTGCAATGCATGACTTTCAACTTAAATGAGCAGAAAACTCAGTTCATCATTTTACTGTGCCACAGAAACGTTAAGGCAGAAGACACTGAGTTGCACATCAATGATTCCTTATTCTACTCTTACTGTTGCTCTGAAAGATGTGTTGGATGTTTAAATGCTGTACTTCACTGTCATTTTCCATCAGTAAGCTTTAATGTCCTAAGTGCACTTGCTGGTCCTTATGAAAATCACTTAAGTCTAAGAAGTATTTGAGAACAACAGTAATTTTCCCGCTTCTCCCCCCTGCCGGCACCTGCGGCGGCTCCTCAGCCTGTGGTGGGGCCTGAGGGCCCCCGGGGAGCCGGGCCCTCCCTCACGGCTCACAGCACTCCAGTGTGGGAGCGGACATGGGATAACCCCTGAGGGGAAAGGCTGTTTTTTGTGCAGTGGGGGTTAAACCCGCTGCAGAGGGGCAGTGTGTGGAGG